TTGTACGATCGTAGTACGGATGTGGTAGTCGCATCAAACGTCCCTACTTGACCTATCGTTTGCCATACCCCGGCAAGGTCACAATACGAATAACATGATGCTGCTAGTTTCAAGGGTGTTGTTCTCCTTCAGTGTTCCTGCGCAACCCGCGCAAAGTCGTGATACAAATACTGGTCGTCGAGTCAAACCTCCCTGGCCCCTCTGATCCCTCTGCAGTGATCACTACCCGACGGGCATCATCATGCCGGGTGGTTGCATTGCACGTTTCCTTCCTTCTGTTGTGTTCAATACCTTTGCCCGGTCTTGAAGCAAGCAATTTCATGTTTCATTGAGACCTGCCACTCGCGTAGTGTTCGCTAAACCTACCCATGCATGGGCGTGGAATGAATGACATGTAGCTCGATGATTGTATGATGGAAGCTCCCTACTCCGTCTTTGATAGTTCGTGCCCTTCAATGGTCATGGTACCAAGAACGTCATGCCTGGTTGTTGCGTTTCGCCTTCCTCCTTTTGGTGTTGGTTTCTTTTGTGTGCTTTTTGTACGAGAAACATTTTGCTTTGTGGTTGCATCCAATCTTGCTGCTCTTCATGGATCCCCTTTGTGGCCAGAGTGCGGGTAAGTTCACGCTTCGTGGTTGAATCAAACCTCTCTCTACTGCGGAGGGGTTCCTGTTGACAGTTTGGTATGTTTTGTGATCTGGGACTCCATGGCCAACCAAGCTCATTGCGCACCTGTCCGCAAGCGTGCACAAAGCGTCCGCAAGTGTACGCAAGGGTTTCCAAGCATTCGCACGGTGACCATCCTCGTATAAGTGTTGCCGCTTTCGGACCGTCGTTGCTGCGTTGCGTGTCGAAGGTGCAAACAGTCACGGGGCATGGGGCCGGGTGGGGCGGAGAAGCGTTGCTGCTTCTTCGTAGCGTGTGATAAGTTCAGGAGTGCCATCAGCCACAGGGATCTATTCCAGAGTGGAGTGGAGAATGCAGTGCAGAGTGGAGTGGTGAGTGATGCAGAGAATGAATAACAGCGGAGAGGAAACTGAAGTGGTGTCTGGAGTGAGGGTGGAGTCCACAGTAAAGTGGAGAGTTGACTGGAAAGTGGAGCAAAACATGGGGAAAGTGGGGAGAAGAAGGGGGTGGACAGTGACTGGAAAGGAAAGTGGATCGCAACGTGAAGCGGACAGTGGAGTCGAGTTGGCAAGATTAACGAGATCTGTGCTTATTGCTGGCATGTACCTTCCATCCTCTTCTACTGTATTCCAGTGCTACAGCCTGGCTAGCTGTCGTTGGCCTTGGCTCGTCCCTCAAGTTTCTGGGTTTCGTCATGCCGAACTGATGCACGGGCATCATGCCAGGGGCACCTCACTACCCGCACCACACGCAGATCTCAACTGGTCAGATGGTGACCTCCAGCCATCAGGAGCACCTTTCAGACAGTTCAGGTTTTAGCCTTCCATGTTTGCTTTTTCTCGAAAAGGCGCAGGCACCTTCTGCGGAGAAGCCGACAAAGAACGAGACTCATGCGGAAGTACACGTGACAGGGCAGAGGCTGGAGTGGCTGGAGCTGGTTCCATGCATGTTCTGAGATTCACTGTGCCTTGTTCAAGTTTGGGGAGGACACTTTCCTGCATTGCCTCTTCAGGCGAGCAGTCACGGTAGGGGTGAATTACATCGGAACCGAGGCTTGGCCCTAAGAAGAAGGACGGCTTGATCTGACTTTGTCTCTGACTTGAACGTTTTGCGCAGAACGAGCTCCGTGGCTGTATCAATGACTCTGACACGTTCATCACACTGCTGACGGAGGTGGGCTTTGAGTCCGCGTGCTGGTTGTTGAGTCATGAAATGAGAAGCCGCAAAACAAGCCAAGCTGTTTTTGAAAGTTGAGAGAGTCTTCGAGGACTTCGGCTTCAGCGTCTCGGACATCCGCCAGCTCCGAGACGACCACCCGCCTGGGCCTTCCAAAAACCAACACCCTTCACAGAGCGAGAGAGAGAGAGAGCGCCAGCTGCTCTATGCATGATGTTCCTGTAACATACTCCGTCTGTGGGGTACTACATGGTAGTCATTTATACCAGGGGTTGCCAGGAAGCCAGCCGAACGCAACTACTAGGTCTACCGGTCATATTTGGACGTAGAGTGTTTGAGGCATGTTGCAATCATCTCGCCCTGAGCTTCTCACACGCGCCTGTCGCACTTTCAGTCACTTACGCTTCAAGTTGGCCTGAACAGCGTTGTTCCCCATTCTCGCTGTGGGGTTGTTAGATTTTAAAGTAGATGTTGTCCTCGCCCGACTGGAAGCTGACCTTCGTGACCAACCACCAAGTATCCCTGCAGTGCCCAACCACCAAGTATCCCTGCAGTGCCCAACCGCAGAGTATCCCTGTAGTGCCCAACCACCAAGTATCCCTGCAGTGCCCAACCGCAGAGTATCCTTACACTG